ATTAATTTAGATTGCCTGTACGTTATGAGATCGGTACCCAGGTAGGATCCATTATTTAAAATCGGGATTTGTCGATGTTTTTTAAACATTAAAGAATCTTTTAAACCTTGCTTATTGGAACCTAGGAAAGTATTTCCTTTCCTTGTTTTCTTAAGAGGCGTTCCAAAGCCTACTAGAAATACAGGCCGTCGTGTCGTAGGGGGGATTCGAAGGACTGAGCGTTCCTTCCAAACCGAGTATAATCCTTCGAGATTCAATCGTTCCCTGCACTACACGACGACCTGTATTTCTTGTAGGCTTTGGAACGCCGGCTTTGGGTTCCTTTTCCTTTCCAACTTTCGCAAGGTTGAAGCGCTAATCTGGCGAACTTCTGATCATCCTTTAAACAATTGCTGCAGATTCTCTTTTTGTCATAGTCCCCTTCATTGCTGATAAATTCACAGCATTGACGATGTATTTCACATTTACATAAAACGCAGATGAATTCAAAATTTGAAAATTTTTCACACACTACACATTTTTTAGTCGCAATTTTTATAATTTCTGGAATATTTTCTTTATTATCATCTGTACATATAGATAGAAATTCACTATGGTTCGATATTTCACAAATACTTTCTTTTTCCTGATGGGTACCTACGTTTCTGTCGTATATTTTGCCATATTCACCAGAACTTGAAAATTCGTCATTGATATTAATAGTGCATTGACGATTATTTACTATTTTTTTTGTCCGTCAAATACCAATGTTTTATTCGATTCGGCTTAGAATATCGTCAGGCGACCTTTATCTTGTTCAATTCAACAAACTTTACGACAAATTACAACAAATTAAGCGACAATTAATGACCTCTTTCGTTTTTTGTTATCTCCACTCTTTACCATAGATTGCCACTATCAAGTTAGCACTACCTCAAAAATGCAATATTTCAAATATTGTTTATAAAAAAGAATGCGACAAATTTGTAAACTTTCCAACAAATTACAACAAATTAAGCGATAATTAAAGCAATAATTTTTTTGTTCAAATCGCAAGATGTAGTTTGTGGCAACCGCCACATTCATTAAGTGTAATATATTATAATATCGTAGTGATAAGTTTGTTAATAAAAAATAAAAAACCATAACTACAAAAAACAAAATAAAATAAATAAATAATTCAAATTAAAACCATAAAAACTGGCGTTCTCATTTTTGTGTAGAACAAATTAATTCATTTACATTTAACTTGTAACTACATAGTGGCAACTTGACAGATACTTTTAATTAAAGTTTTAAATCTTAAATAAGCTTAAAATTTTTAAGAGTTTTGGATTTAATAAATACATACCCTGTAATTCATTATCTCAATTGGTAATGATTTAAGAGGACAAAAACCAGAAACGAATGAACCATTTTGATTACGTTGGTTCTAAAATTAGTTTTCTTTAAAAAAAGTTATTATTTGCAAAGAATAAATACAAAATATCTAATTTTAAATTTGTTCAACAAACACCTCCTCTGAATTTCACTCATTCAAGACAATTTCATAACACTATCACTTAAATATACAGGGGGTTCAGATTTTAATTGGGAAACTTTACTAGAAGATGGTACTTGCCTAAATAACACAAGTTTTTTATATTATAAACATAGAGTCGCAACTCTTTTGTTTTAGAGCAATGAGCGATCAAAGTTAAGCCAAAAAGTTACATTTTATTTCGGCTATAAGTAAAGCGTACAATTTGAAATTTGTTACGTACAAATAATTTTTTTAAATTAAAATAATTTTTTAAGTATTTACTACTGGTTAAGACCTTATTTTTAAGCATACCTTAAGCTTCCCTAGCGCCATCTAAGGGGATGAAATTCACAACCACTTTGATTTTTTTATAAGAACTTTTTAACGCAATGGAATACTACCATAAGAAAATATGAGTTTTAAAACTCATTCTTTAATGGTACTTTTTTGTCTCTATAGTTTGTAATCAATTTTTCAATATTGTTTAAAACAACGTAATATGCTCAGACAAACATTCACGTTATTTATGGTTTTTGTTATGAAAATCACAATTAACTTATGTTATTTTGTCAGTACTAGATCCTAGTAAGTGCACAACTTCCATAGTTAGCTATAAAGCAAACTTTTTTTTAAATATTAGCAGCGCTTTGCCGTACACTGTAGCATATTTTATTTTTTTATGGGAAAACTATTATCTTTAAGGAAAAAACTAAACAGACAAAAAATACCATTAAAGATTTCTCATGTTAATACTCGATGGTGTTAAAAAGTTCTTATAAAAAATTCACAGGGGTTGTGAATTTCATCCCCTTAGAGGACGCCAGGGAGCTTACGTCCTAGTAAAGTTTCCCAATTAAAATCTGAATCACCTTGTATAGATTTTATAAGGTATAAATATTGCATTTTGGTTATAATCAAATATCAGTCATATTCTTCTGTTAGTTTAAATTACACTGTGCTGCAAGATTTTTATACAGTTGTTGTGTTGCGTGTTTTTAGTTAATTTTGGGTTGCTGATTTCAAATATGCCTTCCATTTTTCTGTAACACGTCACGTTTTTTTTATTCAGGTGTCTCACTGTTGCTGTTGATATTGTGAGACAAATATCAAATTCATTGCATCTATAGTTTCCCTATAAAATCCTAAGTCTCGCTGCCATAAGTAACCTGAATAAAAAAGAACGTGACGTGTTACAGAAACAATGAAAGGCATATTTGAAATCAGCAACCCAAAGTTAACTAAAAACACTCAATCGATCTACTGTACACAAAAAAAAAGTTAAAGTTTGCAGCACAGTGTTAGTGTTATTAATAACAAAGAAATCATAAAATACTGAACTAAAACTAATTCAACAACAGTTTTAATATTCTATATCACAGCTATACAGTTCCACTATCCAAACATGAAGAAAGTAGAGTGCAAAAGTTTAATTCTTGGCGAAACGGGCGTTGAAAATTCAATGTTCATAAATGTCTTTTATAATATTACTTATACACGACCATTACTATTTTGGCAATACGCTCCTTCCTACATCTACCATAATGAATCTTGTAATTGTCAACAAGTGCAGGCAGTATAAAAGAAACGTCTTTCTTTTTAATTGTAAAAAGTTTAGGCTGATTTTATTAGACATATTATGACATTTGAACACATTCTTCTTCAACCATGATCTTTACTGTAGCAAATCCCATGCGATAATTGAATTCCAATGATCAAAAATAGTATCGTTTCCACAAGCCGAAACTGTTAGACCACCAATTAATGTGACTCGAAACATTGTTTCTCAGCCGCAACAACAACTCCAATCACCCATTGAACTATCCACATTCATGTCGGTATTCCCAGCCACTTCAACTCTTAGCCTGCTTGGATCCACATCATCGGATCAATCGACCTCAACATTTGAAGTATTACCTACTCTTCAACCAAGGAACGAACTTCATCGAATTGTGCATCAAAAATACTGATGAAAGCTTTTAGTATTGCTCTTAAGCTCATTAACGTGACTTTGGACTCTTGTTTTATATTCTTCTTTCCAATATCTTCTCTTTTTTTAATAATTGCCAGTATCATAAATTAAATATCTTTTCTATAATCTGAATCACTACGTCATACCACGTGCCACGCTCAATCAGCTGTTGAATCTGAAATATTTTTTGATGTTTTATCGCAGATATATTCCTCGGCTTAATATGACATCGTACATTTTAGTGTATTAAGCCGAAGACGCTTGTGGCCGAGGTGATACGTTGTTTGACACCAGTCAATATGATACAGTTGATGTGGTATTAAATTGGCCACAAGCGATCCTGGCTTGATTGGATGACATCTTGCATTTAAGTCGCAAGCGGCTTATGCTAAGGTCGCTTGCGGTCGAGGCGTTGTATTGTGTGATATCAGTTTTGTGTTGATATGGTATTAATTGTAAGGCGTCGGCGGCAAGCGACCTCAAGTTAATCGATCAACATCATGCAGTCTTTGTTATGCATTTCACTTTATTTAACAGAGGCCGGTTCCAGCCGACCGAGCGTGGCACGTGGTATGACGTTGTGATGCAGATTACAAAGAAGATATTTAATTTATAATACTGACAACTATTAAAAAAAAAGAGAAGATATTGGAAAGAAGAATATAAAACAAGAGTCCAAAGTCACGTTAGAGAGCTTAAGAGCAATACTGAAAGCTTTCATCAGTATTTTAGATTGTTCAATGCACAATTCGATGAAGTTCATTCCTTTATTGAAGAGTAGGTACATAAAGAAAATATAAGAAATTTCGTAAACCTATAGTGACAAAACAAAAACTTGCTGTGTGTTTAAGGTAGCATTTATTTGTTTTATTACAACAACAGTTTGGATTGCTATAATTGCTGTCATATGACGGCAGCTTACTTCAAATGTTGAGGGCGATTGTTCCGTTGGTGATGTGGGATGTGGATCCAAGCAGGGTAAAAGTTGATGTGGCTGGGAATACCGACATGAATGTGGATGGTTCAGAGGGTGATTAGAGTTGTTGTTGCGGCTGAGAAACAATGTTCCGAGTCACATTAATTGGTGGTCTAAGAGTTTGGGCTTGTGGAAACTGGAAACTCTTTTCATAGTAACGATCGTAGTTGAAGAAGTATGTGTTCAAATGTCATAATATATCGAATAAAAGCAGGCTAAACTTTTTATAACTAAAAAGGAAGAGCTTTCTTTTACATTACCTGCACTGGTTGACAATTACAAGATTCATTATAATACATGTAGGGAGGAGCGTATTGAAAAATAATAGTGATGGCCATGTATAAGTAATATTGTAATATACAGTGATAAACGTTGGTTTACACTCTATCTTCTTCATGTTTGGAGATTGCAACTGTAGGTATAGCTGTGAATAGAATATTAAAACTATTGTTGAATAAGTTTTAATTCAATATTTATATGATTTCTTTATTATTAATAATTTAAGATAACAGGATAATATGACTGATATTTGGTTATAACGTTATATTCGCATTGTTTGGGCGTTTAAGCGGAATTCGAAGGAGATTGTGAATCAGACATTCGAATGCGATATTTTTCATCAAAATCGGTTGAAAGCTTCTCTTGTTATAATGAAAATACTATACATGTATAATTTCGCATAGGTCAGAGAGTACTCTGATGTTCGTTCCCACGGTTCCCACAATAGACGTGGGAATAAAAATCTATGTTCAGCCTTTTCCGGCTGGCGAAAACTTGAAATTAAGGCACAATTAAAAGATTTTTATTAAAAAAAGCGTTTTATTCCACACAAGAAGTTTTAATCTGTAGAGAGTATCATCCTCTCTGTGATTTGTAAATTGTAAGTATTTTGTGATGTTAACTATTGTATGGTTCTTATTTATTATAATATCTATTTGACGGGCGTACGAGTGTATCCACTTTTTTACACAAATAAAGATTATGATTATTAAGAATTTGATAAATTGGGTAACAATAAATGAAAGTTTTCTCTCTTTTGTATTTAAGCGATCGAAATACATTCATTAAAAACAAACAACGGTAACAGTAACATTTACCTACAAATAGTTCTATGTAATACCTATTTCTCTAAATTCATTCTTTTCCGAATAATTCTCTCAGTATTCTTCACTATTTCCTTATCCATATAAATATTAGGTTCATGTAAAATATATTTTCCACATAGTTTACATTTTTGAAAAATTAATCCTTTATCACCATTAGGTATCATAATAATCCATTTGATGAATAAGGGGTCATAAGTAAAGAGAGATATTCGTTTCTCGTTGGCACGTGAGATAAAGTCTAAATCAAAAGTATCCAAATCTAGTAACCTACAATTGTGACAAAAATATGACGTTATAATAACTGGTATAAGAGTTTTAAAGATGTTTGATAGAATGGCGCTTTTTGAGATCACCATTTCCAAATAATATATTCGTTTAATTCGATCAACTAAATTTAATATTTCCGCTTTCGTTTTTATTGTTTGAATATCACTTATTGCCAAACCATTTATTACGTTAGAAAGTGTTATTGTTACAAAAAATACGAAAAATAAAAATATGATTTTGTTGAACATCGTTTCTAAATTTCCCTCATCTAATAACGATTTCGCGTCTAATTCACCAGTTAACATTACGATGATTTTTAAAAATGTTAAAATTGGATCATCAAAAAAATCAGTTGTTTTATTAGCGCTATTTAAATCATTTTGATTTTTTTCAAATCCTCTTGGTTTTTGATAAATAATATAGATTCCAAAAGTAAAAGCAATAAGTAAACACGAAGACCAAAGCAAAAACTTTAAAAAATTCGAAGTAACCGTTTTTAAAACTGAAACGTATGTTGAGAAATGTAAACAGCGAGCGATCAGCAACATCATTTTGATAAAAGACGAAAAAATTGATCCGGCCAACATTAATTGTTTATAGTAATTTAAATCGGTTTTGTTATTTTCATAAAAAAAGTTAGTACATATTGTGTAACCCGTTGTAACTAATATAAAAATATCTAAATAACTCTCCGGGTTCGTAAAGTAAATTTTCAATACTAAGAAAATTTGTGTAAATTCTTTTAAAATAAAAATGATTAAAATAGGTAATAATAAATAAGAAAAAAAGGAACTATACCAAATAAACCCGATTAAATTGACCAAAAAAATCAAATGAAACATACAATTAATTATAAAAAACCTTTGCATTTTAAAACATTTGAGATATAAAAGTGTGGAAATAACCGGGTGTTTTACTAAGTATTGTAAATTTCGATTTTCGCTTATACGTAAGAGTACGTGTGCTTCTGAAGATTCGTCAGAAAATAATCTTGCATAATTGAATGTAAATATCTCATCATCCCACCCATAAGGATCGATAACTTTACAGTTAGGTTTTCCAGTCTTTACACAATCGTCCAAAAGTTTTTCTAAGTCCTCAGGATAAGTATTATCGATAGGCATAACACCTAAATTATTTTTAACATCCAAGAAAGCACCTCGTTTTAACAAATTAGTAATTATCTCAAGATCTGCGTATTTCACAGCGTAATGTAATGGTGTGTTTCCGTATATATTAGCTCCGTTAACTGCAATTTTTAAATTATTTTGATTCACTAGGAATTTTAAACAAGCCTTAAAGTTGTGGACCTCATTTGATTCGTAAACAATTTGGTTATGTAGTAATATTAACAAAATATCTTTGAGGAATTTATCGCTATACGAGTGTTCTTCTTGAAGTAGTAATTCTTGGAAAATATTGTAGATTCCGTGTTCAGAAATGATTCTCAAAAATAAATTATTTCTCGTTTCACTGGTTTGAATTAGTAGTAAAAATTTGATTATATTTATTAAGTTTTTTTCGCATATCTCTTGAAGAATGTATTCACCATTTTTGCCTAGATAAAATTTACGACAAATCTCTTCGTTAGATTGAAAATAATTTATAAATTCTTCTTGGTTATTATTTTTTAAAAAAGATATTAAATTGTTTTGAATAACGTTTCGTTCAAACGTTGTGTTATTATTAACTAACAATAAGTTTGGTGGTGGTCCATTGGTGCTTTTTTCAATTGAATATTCTTGATTTGTGATTAATGGTGAAAGTTCTAGAGGGGCGTCTTGATGACTTGATGACATTTTTATCTAAAAGAAAATAAATGGATTAAAACGATGTACTTATACAGTGCGTTCACGACGAAAGGAATATAGTATATATCTCGGTAAATGTTGAGTTTATAAAAAAACATTTTATACAATAGTATATTAAAAAACAAGTTTCGTAAGACACGTTTGAAATGCACGAATTCAAGTTGAAAAACGAGTTGATAAAAAATAATTTTGACAATGTAGGGAAATAGGTATGTAGCAGTTGGTAACACCGTAACACTTGAAAATAGAAATTTGAATTGACAATTAGAAACTGTCAAAACACAAAATGTATTCACCTGACACAAATGTTTCATGTACACCTCCCAAAATAAGAGAAATTGCTCAGAATTCAATGTCCTCATCATTGTGGACCTTGTATTCGATGCTAAGAACGTGTTTAAACATCCATAGACAAACATTGTCACATTGACAACTAGAAAAATTAATGGTCCTATGTCACCAACTTGAACTGGTTCCATAAAATGTTACTAAAATCTCATTACAGCATCGGATGCTGTAAGGAGTCTCATTACAGCACCCGTTTGAGTACTGTTATAGCTTTCATTACCGTCGCGAATTACAAAATAGTATATTAAAAAATAAGTTTCCTAAGACACGCTTGAAATGCACGAATTTAAGTTGAAAAACGAGTGGCGAAGCCACGAGTTTTTTAATGAATGAGTGCTTTAAGTCTTATGAAAGGTGTTTTTTATGCTATTTTTTGTAATTCGCGTTTTTATCCTTTTTTTTAACAAAAATAAAATAAATTTTGACAATGTAGAGAAATAGGTATGCAGCAGTTGGTAACACCGTAACACTTGAAAATAGAAATTTGAATTGACAATTAGAAACTGTCAAAATACAAAATGTATTCACCTGAAAAAAATGTTTCATGTACAGCTCCCAAAATAAGAGAAATTGCTCAGTGTTCAATGTCCTCATCATTGTGCACCTTGCATTCGATGCTAAGAACGTGTTTAAACATCCATAGACAAAAATTGTCACATTGACAACTAGAAAAATTAATGACCCAATGTCACCAACTTGAACTGCTTCCATAAAATGTTACTAAAATCTCATTACAGCATGGGATGCTGTAAGGAGTCCCATTACAGCACCCGTTTGAGTACTGTTAGAGCTTTCGTTACCGTCGCGAATTACAAAAAAGTTGTTTAACATTTTATTTGGCATAATAAGACTGCATGCAATCGTTTTTAGTTCAGAAAACAAATGAGTAACGAATAACACATATTTTTAAATGGCAATGTACCCTTTCGTTAGGCTCATTTGATAGAGATTTTTTTTCTCTTTGCGATGACGTAAAATTTTAGTACCCTTATATCGAAAAATTTTTGAAACAAATGCAAAAATTGTTTACTAAGAAAAATTAATCAATAACATTAATCTAGATCATCAAGTACCTCGAATTATTATCGTAAATTAAATTTACATACAAAATAAAACAAATAAAAGAAAAATTAGTGTACATCTCCAATAATTCGAGGTGCTTCGAGTTACTTGATGATCTCGGATATTTAGATTAATGATATTACATATTTTTCAAAAATTTTTTGATGTAAGGGTACTAAAATTTTACATTTATCTGAATTTTCGGTCAGCAGGAATTAAAAGTAAAACAACTTTTTAAAATCGCTAATACATATTTCGATTGTTAAATTACAATCTTCTTCAGAGCATTTTATTGTTGTAACTCGAAGTTAACTTAGAACTTCGAGTTGAAGTAACTCGAAGTTTTAAGTTTTTAATATTTAATTTTTCAATTTTAATCTGTTTTTTGAATTTTAACTTTTAATAATGTTTTTGATCATTACCCTTTCGACGATTTCTGAGATTTTACGCCACTTCGAGTTACAACAATAAAATGCTCTGAAGAAGATTGTAATTTAACAATCGAAATATTAGCGATTTTAAAAAGTTGTTTTACTTTTAATTCCTGCTGACCGAAAATCTGAATAAATTTTTTCTATTGCTGCTCACGTTGTTGGTCGATGATACTTCTTGCTGTATTACTAAAATTTTACGTCATCGTAAAGAGAAAAAAAATCTCTATCAAATGAACCTAACGAAAAGGTGCATTGCCATTTAAAAAACTTCAAGTGATATTCGTGCTCATTTCTATTCTGAAGTAAAAACAATTGAATGCTGTCTTATTATGGCAAATAAAATATTCAACAACTTTTGGATAAAACGCTTTTTTATAAAGTCAACATTTACCGAGACATATCTGGGTAAATGTACATATACTATATTCTTTTCATCGTGAACGCACTGTATGTATACATATACAATGCGTCCGTAAAGTAGCGGATATAGGCGATAAAATCATTATAAACAGTTTATGGAAAAATCCCTGAAACGGGTTTAAAGATTCTTTGTAACTTTTTGATGTAGATTTAAAATTTTTTCCGTCATTTTTAAACGAGTTATGTCGTCATCGATATTTCTTTTAATTAGCAATCCCCCATTTTTATTACGGAATATGAAAGAGATTTTTTTTCTGATTTAAATACAGTCAATATTTTAATATTGGTTACTTAAGAAAATTTTCGAGAAAAACTACTTTTAAATTTAGCTACTTCAAATTTGCTTGACATGATAAAAATAGCAGTAGCCATGAGTTCAGTAACTATGGTAACCAATTGTTTTAAACAATTTTCTAAATGTCAAACACTAATTTAGTAAGTACTCTTTAATGCAACATATCCTGTTCGCCAACTCATTAGCCAAAGTATGGTAAGCCTAGCTGCGAATAAATCTACGGGCATCTACGAGATTACTCGAAGTCTGGCTGACCAAATGTTTCATGGGAGGTAAAACAAAACGTGGTTTTGGCTGGGCAAGAAAACCCTCATGTTACTGTAAGGGGGACATTGGGTCGAATTTGGAGATTAGTAAATCAATGGTTCATAAAATTTTAAAAACCGCAAATTCATTCTTAGAACGTACGTTCTTAGACGTAGTTTTTGCAACGATGACGAAGACTTAGTCAAAAACATAATTTTTCCGACGAGAAAACATTTACATTGAGTGTATAAGTAAATACACTATATCCGCAAAAGATCCTTAGGGTCCTTACTTTTTTGAGGACACCTTAACTGGAGAGAGATGTTTAGATTTCTTCAAAACGATATCATTCCTTCCATAACGATAACCTCATCCGGATAATGCTGACCCAACTGAATTCCAACAAGACGGCGCGCCGCTACACTTCAACAAGCTTTAATAAATTACTTTTTGAGGAATTTCTCGTGACCGTTCTATACGAATTTGAATCCCGTTTCTAGAATTCTGTAGGGATCGACGGATAATTCCAGATATAAATTTCGCCGAGAAGCCATATTCTGTACAGCCGCCTTACACCTGAGGTATTAAAGTACGATTCTTATTCCCATATTTATTTATTTATTTCTCTTCATTTCAGGTTACTATAATTACAATCTTAAAAATAATCCTTTTTGGAGAATTTTTGGTATGGAGGAATTGAGGTATTGAGGCTGTAGCATGCTGTGCACACAACATGTACAAACAAAAGAACATGTTACTATACCCTATATAGTAAATTTCCCAATATGAGAGAAACTACAATAAATAGGAATAGGAATGTTTATAGATAATTTGTAGAGAATCAAATTCCCTTTCGGGTAGGCTAATACAACATGGGGCGTTCCATTTAAAATTTTTGACTTTCTCCCCATTTTTGGCCACCCTGTATAAGATACTCTGATACAACAAATGACAATGTATTTGACAGCATCTGAAGAATAATCGTGTCAATTTAGAGCTTTTTTGAATAAATGTTGGCAAAAAAAAACTTAAAATCAAAATAACTCGAAAACGAAAAACTCTATACCAATAACTCTTATGAAAGTCAACATATTTTTTACGTACAATTAAAATGTGCAATAAAAACTATAGCATTCCATTTAAAATAACGGAGTTGTGGTCTACTTCCGGTAGACCGGGACTACCAGCCATCTTGAAAATATTTTAAATAAAAGGAGACTCATTCCGGAGGGTTTGTCAAAGAATGTCCCAGGACTTGTGGAGTACTGCCTATCGTCGACATATTTTAGCTGAAAGGGAGAGTTCTACGAGCAATCCGAAGTCACCTGTGATCGCCAAGTTTCACATGGAGATGTTTGAAGAGGAAGCATCAAAGAAGAGTCCGTGGAAACCGAAGCTATGGTTTCGTTACGTCGATGACACTTTCGTGGTCTGGCAACATGGCAAAGAGCAACTCCACTAATTTCTAGACCACTTCAATTCGCAACACCCCATGATAAAATTTACTATGGAAACAGAAACTGCAAAACAGTTGCCCTTCCTGTATGTGTTACCTGCAGGCCACCCACAACAGAAGAAGTCCGTGATTCAAGCCTTATTCCAGCGAGCAGAGAGGATATGTGAAAAAGAGAACCTGAAGAAAGATTCCTAGAAGATGTACTGCAGAAGAAAGCCTATACGATGAGGGATATCTAATGAGCCACCAAACCACACAAACAGAAGGATGACTCTGTAAGTACGACACCAGCCGGTTTTATCTGCCTTCCTTATGTTTCAGGTGTGATGGAGTGAATTGCGAAGTGTGTGAAGAAGAATGATATCGTGGTACGATACGGTACGGTACTTATTGTCTAGGATGAATGAATTTATGGTTAATACTAAAGACTTATTCCTATGAATTTTACCTCTTAACATAAATTGACGGTAAATTATTAACACCTTAATTGTTAGTTTTTAAGTTGTTCGGTTGCAGTCGTGCCTGAGGACGATTTTATACCTTGTACCTACCATTTTTCGAGTTATTTTGATTTTAAGTATTTTTTGGCAAATTCAAAAAAGCTCTAAATGGCACGATTACTCTTGAGATACTATCTAATGGATAGTCATTTTTTGCATCAGAGTATCTTATACAGGTGATCGAAAATTGAATCACCGTTTTTCCACATTCAATGGCAAGAGATTCAAAAATTTTAAATGGAACCATATTTTGCATGCAGTGAGCTGGAGCCCGATCCTCAACGAGTTGTTTGTCGTCAAAAAACAAAAGATTAGTTTCATTGATAGTAAAAATTGCCACACATCTTTCAAACCAGCAAAGCTATTTTTGCTTCCAAATAAATTTCCCGACTATGGAACAGGGAAACGAGGAAATTCTTGGGTAATTCTTAGGGTTTGAGTATTTTCCTATCTTAAAAAGTGGAATCCCCGACTCTCTGGAGATTGTACGTCATCCAGCATTGTATTATACAGTTATTTCATCTGCAGCGTCACTTCATTCATTGTGAATTTTTCTACTTCCTCAAATATCTCTGTAGTCCTTAACTCTGCGTATCCTTCAGCGGAGGTTTCATCATCTTTTCTTTATGTATATAGACTTTAAAAGTAGTTTGTCCGCTAATATGTTGTTTTGGGTCATTATTTCGTCGGTTGGTTGATATGGGATGGAAATGCGGTATAGCGATATAATGACGGTATGTTATAGTATATTAAAAAACAAGTTTCGTAAGACACGTTTGAAATGTATGAATTCAATTTGAAAAACGAGTGGCGAAGCCACGAGTTTTTAATGAATGAGTGCTTTAAGTCTTATGAAACGTGTTTTTTATGCTATTTTTTGTAATTCGCGTTTCTATCCTTTTTTTTCTCAAAAATAAAATAAATTTTGACAAAGTAGGAAAATAGGTATGTAGCAGTTGGTAATACCGTAACACTTGAAAATAGAAATTTGAATTGACAATTAGAAACTGTCAAAACACAAAATGTATTCACTTGAGAAACATGTTTCATGTACACCTCCCAAAATAAGAGAAATTGCTCAGAGTTCAATGTCCTCATCATTGTGGACCTTGTATTCGATGCTAAGAACGTATTTAAACATCCATTGACAAACATTGTCACATTGACAACTAGAAAAATGAATGACCCAATGACACCAACATGAACTAGTTCCATAAAATGTTACTAAAATCTCATTACAGCATCGGATGCTGTAAGGAGTCTCATTACAGCACCCGTTTGAGTACTGTTATAGCTTCCATTACCGTCGCGAATTACAAAAAGTTATTTATATTAAAAGAATGAATTTCACTGTAAATGTTTTGAATAATCTAATAATATTTCTCCACTATTTTATATAGATTTTTTATGCTTAAGAGTTGTGGAGAATAAGCGGTTGAAGAAAAGTCTGAAACTGGCATTCTACTTTTTAACCTATTACATTCTATTTACAAGTCTTCTTATCACACACCTAACTTAAAAAATTACAAATTTCAATCATTCACTTTTAAAAGAATTACAGCTAATCTGATAAATGAACAGATTGAATGTAAAATAAATGTGTTAAATTTGGTTGAAGGTATGTTTTCGTAGGTACGTTTTCGATGTTTTTTTTTTATTTTACGGAAATCAAAGTTTTATCTTACAACTTCTACACGAAAAACTCATCGTTTTAATCTTTCGTGAATGTATTTGATATTATTGAAAATATCTTGATTTATTATTGGAATTCTTTCAAAATCGTGGAAAATAATTTATTCAATCGCTGTATGACACATTCCTCGATGACATTATTTATTAATTCTTATTTACATATTTCTAGTGAAACTCTTTTCGAATGTGAAGTTAAGCGAATGATCAATAAAAAAGAAGGAATATATTTTGATTAAAATAGGCTCAGTTACCTCATAGACGTTATTGATTTGATGTGATTTCTGAACGTATATTATAAATAATTTACTAATATTGAATACAAGGAGGAAAAAAATTAATATCGAAGCTGCACCACAATTTTTTTTGTTCTGGACTTTTTATAAACTTTCATATCTCCAGAAGATGATATATTTATAACTGCCTGAAAATATATAAAAAATAATATGAATTTACCTCTGATTTCAGCAAATTTACGACACAGAACGTCAAGGAAGTGTTATAAACTAAGGTTAGGAATAAACTAACCGCAGATATGTTACACATCATGTGTATTATCTTGTATTCGAGGTGATGTCATATATTCCGACTGAATGTGGTTGAAGTTGAGTAAGTCTCAGAAGCGAAAGGAAACAACAATTAGGTATAAAAAAGTTGTTTGGCAAAAAAAATCTTTCCATGAAATGTTCGTAGATAGTGAAATTATTGGTTTTGTGATAATTTATAACAGTTTTCTCCTGTTATTTAACAGATAACGAAATAAAATTTTCTTTTGCATAATTTTAACCTTCGAGCGGGTGCGCTGTCAAAAATTTATGACAATTTTCGTATTCCTTCTATATCAGCTTGTATTATCAATTCGAAACTGAATTTCGGCATTTGAGCAAACGCAGATTGGATAGTTTAATTCTACATTAAACTATCGCCGATTGTGCACCTCCTATTTGATCAAATGCTGATCTTAATAAGGTTGAAATAAATGTATACGAATGTGCAACATGGCATTAACAACACAATACAAGATCACTTTTATTAAAAAAGAAATAAGAGTAGCTTTTACTTTTTAATAGTAAACCAAACGTTTCAAAAAATAAAACACATTTTTACAAAAAATATAAGAGTAGAACAACGAAAAATATCTTAATTATTAAAGTAAATATTGACCTTATTTATTGCAGCATGATAAAGACTGATGACATTTACTGCTACACTTAACTTGTCTTTAAAGACACTTGCATTTTTAATTTTTGCAGTTAGTCTTACAGTTACAACAGACAAACCCTTGTTTAAAATTTGTTTCTACAGAAGCAATGTGTCGAAGCGAAGCTGTACTGGTGGGAACGTCAGCCTAGGATATAAAGTTACTTTCTGAAATCTACAAAGAAAATTGTAATAATAAATAAATCATTTCTAGCATATAGCCTCTCTAAAATATCATTTGCTGTTCCTACTTTATATAGGCCTTCATTTTCAGAAGGTGCAGCTCGCTCGCGATCAACATCCGGAATTTTCAATAAAATATTTTGTCCAGTACAGGGTGTCCCAATTTCGATTCCCAATTTCGCTCTATCGGCAAAAACTGAAAATTTTGCGAAAACGACAATCGCGAATATCTCACTTATTATCAAAGATGGAGTATTATAAATAAAACATTATATGGGCAACTTTTTACGAAGAATTCAGTGGCGTAGATAGAATTTTCTTCCCATCTTTTATTTTCGAAATTTTAGACGTAACTTTATTTTTTTAAATGGAAACCATAGTTGGCTATGACCTAAAATAATTTGTTATTTTCTTCTGATAACAAATATATATAGTTTGTGGGGTATATTTCTTACAGTTATTGAGTAATTAACAAAAATTCATTTTGTTCTATCTAAAACTAATGTATGTATTTAAAAGTTAATGTTGCTATGGTGATAACCATACATACTATGATGGAACATAATATATCAAATAATTGCCAAAGTTTATATTTAAAAATTCGATAACAACTCTGGCACTATGTGCTGGTACGAAGCAGCAGCATGTTAAGTGTCAAAGTATAACAAAACTGAATAAAACTTTACAATGAATTTCGAAAATTATGAAAAATGTAACATGATGGAATGCTATATGTTATCAAATAAGAATGCGACGTTAGCCGCGGAATTATATTTCACAAGGTATCCGGAAAGAAGACAACCGCACGTAAGAACCTTCTGCCGGTTAGCAGAAAATTTAAAAAATTTTGGTCCTTCCCCAAACCACGTGCAAAAACATACCAAAATGACCTGCAAGAGAATGAAGTGAATGTGTTGGCTTCAGTTGCGATAAATCCATTAACATCTCGCAGAGAAATTGAACAAGACGTCTGACCCAAAAGCCGCTGCTCCCGAATATGAAAGAAAAATAAGTATAAACCATACAAAGCGGGTTTACTCATTATTTACATGCCGGAGATGTCAATCTAAGATTAGAATTTTGTAGATGATATTTAGAAAAATTAAATAATCTGTTGTTTGTTCAAAATGTCATCTGGACCGATTAAGTCTCTGAGTGTTCAAAGAAGATTGGGGTTCAATGTATGGTGTGCGCTTTTAGATAATACATATTTGGCATATAGTATCTACCATAAAAACTTAAAATCAGGTAAATACCTCAATATATTAAGGCAGCACCTTGAGCCTTTGGTCGACAATTTGCCATTAAATATATCTCAAATAATATATTTTCAATATGACGGAGCACCAGCACATAATGCCAGAGTTGTTAGTGAATTTTTAAATACTACTACAAACTTTGGCAATAATTGGAAACAATGTTTTCCATCATGGTATGGTTATCACCATAACAACATTAACTTTTAAATACATACAGTTTAGATAGAATAAAATGAATTTTTGTTAATTATTCAATAATTATAAGAAATATACCCCACAAACTATATATATTTGTTATCAGAAGAAAATAACAAATTATTTTAGGTCATAGCCAACTATGGTTTCCATTTAAAAAAATAAAGTTACGTCTAAAATTTCGAAAATAAAAGATGGGAAGAAAATTCTATCTACGCCACTGAATTCTTCGTAAAAAGTTGCCCATATGTTTTATTTATAATACTCCATCTTTGATAATAAATGAGATATTCGCGATTGTCGTTTTCGCAAAATTTTCAGTTTTTGTCGATAGGGCGAAAACAAAAGACGATAGCTGTTCGGAGTTTTCGGCATTAACATTTTCTCGAAAAACGAGATCATGACACACATTTTTTTTCTAAAACCTTTAGTTTCGGAGATAGCCTATGCGGACATCGAAATTGGGACACCTGTACATACAGATGAAAATTTTTTTGAACTGCGTTTCAGCATTTTTCAGCTTGTCGTTTTAAACTTTGTGCACTTTCTTCTCTCTATTGAGTGATTTGTTTATATATTAATGTCGTCAAAGTTATCATCCATTTCTTCAGTTTCAACTACTACTTCTTTTTGTGACTGAATGTAGGTTTGGTTGTTAAGCAAATCATCCCTCTCAATATGACTGACAACAGTATCGGGCAAGTTGGAATCCTTGAGACCATTCATCATTGAAACTCCGAACATGGCCTCGTACGGTGATTGTTGTATGCCTTTATGATATGAGCGATTTTTCTGTAAGTGCACAAAGCGCAACCCATCTGAGCATTTATTGGTTTTATTGTTTTCATCTAAGAGCCTTGACTCTGTGAATGACGAGGCTTTTGATATACAATTTTAGCGTCGAACATATCTGCTAAATTGGTAATTACAGCACTTGCAAATTCACACCCACTATGGCTATGGAGAATGCATGGAGCGCCAATAATACAAAAAATGTCCATCAAATTATACGCGCCTTCCTCTGCACTCTTAGATTTCAGCGGCTTTAAAAATACGGATTTTGTCAGATGATCCTGATAATTTAAAATAAATTACGGTCAATAAATCGGGCTAGGTCTGTATGTCAATTAAATCGACTTGCCCTCATTTGTTAATGTTCTTCGTTAATATCGGCTTCGAAACTAAACCTTTCTTTTTCTCTTTAAATGGCAAGATAAACTTAAATATTCTTCAATATTTTTTCTTTACTTCCTTCTCCATAGCAAGTGTTAGTTTATGTCTTATCTCCTTGTGTGCTTTTTCTAATACACGTCATACACTTCATGCATTTGACAATAGAATTTTACTGAAATAGAATCCGTTCGTTTTTGAATTAAATTATCAATCCCTCCTATTGTTAAAACCTCAAATCTATGATGACGTCGGTATTCTAGCGGTGTAAGTGGTTAACCAGCCTGTTTTTGTTACAAGCCCTCACTTCTTGTATAATTTCATTGAGTTTCTCCGATGAAAGAGAGTACGTAAAGTTTTATTATTAACAGTAAGACACATTTTCAGGTTATCATTAAACGCTTCAGCATTAACACAAGAAGCCATAACCTTGTACTTACATTTGCTGAGTAAAACAAACACGTCTTTCTTTTTTGTTTACGAGATGTGTGATATGGTGCGGAATATCGGTTGTCGCTTGGTCAGTTTGTAGACGGCTGCGCGAAATTTAGTCAGTCGACTCGATTGTCGGTACTGCTGCCTGGACTGAGACTTGTATAACCTAAAAACTAACCGCTAACTAACCTTTATTAAGATCGGCATTTGATTAAATAGGAGGTGCACAATCGGCGATTGTGTAGAATTACACTATACAATCTGCGTTTGCTCAAATGCCGAAATTCACTTGTATTTTGGCATTTGCTCAAATGCACTTTAACATTCCGCGAAGATCATTTTGAAGATCTACCACCGTTGCTTGTTCATCTTCATTTTTGATTCTTTTATTTCATTCCAATTCGGAAATGTTTTTAATAACATGAGACATTGTAGTTTTCCAAAAAGGTTTTAGTGTTAGAGCTTTGTTTTCATTAATGACCTTATAAATGGCTTCAGCCGCAAGTGACCTGGGGTTAATAGAACGAAATCATAAAATACATTTCATCATTTTAAAATATTGTCGAAAGACAAAAAATAGAAATGTTTCCATTTTTCATTAACTACAGAGTTTTAAAACAGTTTTACACGCTTTTTAAATGTTATTTGTCATCAATGTGTGATGGGGGCGGATGATTAGGGCTGTATAAGAATGTTAAGTGATTATTATTATTATTTTAATATATAAAAACGTCTTTATTTTGTAAAAAAAATCTAATTTAATAATTAACCCTAACTAATTTTTAATATGAATTTAACTCCATCAATAAGATAATCAAAACGACAAAAAAAATTGTCTTGTCATTTGACCAGCCAATACTATTTACCTTCCTCAATTTTATATTTTAATTTCATTATCCATATATAACTCCTTTAAACAAATCATTACAGGAAACGTAAGTTTGGTAAAATTATTATTGGAAAATATGGCAACTAAATGACATAAAGATTTAATAAAAAATGTTAAATCACAAATAAATATAACTATCTCACTTCTGTAAATTTTCACTTTAGCCTAATTTTTTTTTAATTTTTATTAATTTATTTACTTCATTCTCTTCTCAATTTCCTAAAATAAAAGTTTATTAAAAAATAAATTACAATTATTTTAAATAACTTACTTTATCAATGATGGTTCTTTATATGACTTTTGTGCTTTTGCAGCTCTACTAGATCTTTTTTTAACAGTATCCCTACAAAAAATAAAAACAAAGCTTAAACAAAAATGAATGTTTAAATTAAACTAAAACTAGAACTAACCTAGCATTATCACTAAAACTAACACTAGACCCAGAACTAGAAACTTTCGGGTTAAGACTTGCGTCTTTTGAATAGGGTTGTTACGAATGTACTTATAGCGACAGCGAATGCGAAATTACGAAAAAAATTGTAATTAAGAAAGCGAATTGTTTTTAGAATTCAGTCCTCTAAGAGTGAGGTTGCCAATGGTACATAGTTGAACCAGTTGTCAACCGTTATATTGCGATTGGATCCATGACAAGTTGTTGACAGCTTTTTCACAAAAAACTCGGCTTGAGGCAAACCTTCTGAGTTCAACGTTTTACCTGTGTAAGGAATGGCGTCCCAACCCAACCCAACCATATATTTAGTGGCATTGTCACACATTAAAACTAACTTTAGCCCGTATTTATCCGGCTTGTTAGGAATATACATTCTAAAGTTACATCGCCCTCGAAATGCGAGCAACTGCTCATCAATTGTCAAAAATGAACCGGGCTTGTAAGAACTTCGGCACGCAGCAATAAATAAATTCCAAACTTCCTTTATAGGAGCAAAGTTGTCAGTTTTTCTCCTATCAGCTCGAGTGTTATAATCATCGAATAGCTCATGGTGACGTGGTATCTATTACCACTGATTTCTGGGTTAAACAGCTCGTTTGGCGGTAAATGATTGTCCTTTTGGGCAGCTGAAAGAATTAATAACCCTAATAGAGCATCAAATTCGGTATCATTCATCACACTAACAGTTTTATTTTGTGCCTTATAGTTAGCACTCTTTTCTTGAATTTTCAAGTTTGTGTTAATCACAATTTTATTTTTGATTTCGTCATTTAAAAAAAGTCTGAAAACTTCTATCGGTATTATTTCTCAGTCCTTTTCTTCTTCCTAACCGGTGGTAGAGGTTCTTCTTCATCCATACTTGAAACGTCTGATAGCTCTAAGTCTGCATCAGGGTCGTAGTGTGGGTCTTCATCAGTATCATCACTGTTTATAACGCCGTCATATACCAGATGATGTACTTCATCATCCGATCCAGAATCATTGTCAGATGTATCACTATCACTCTGTAGCAAGTATTTTTCAATTTTACTTTCAGTACACTTCCGACTCATATTTGGAACTTATTTATATTTACATTTACCACTAAAACTACGCATAAGAACAAAATATTAACACTTTTCAATCAATAATAATCCACTATAAATAAAACGGGTTTGTAAAAAAATCCAAGTCCAAAATCCAAACTATCGTAAAATTTACGAGCGATCAAAAGCAGAGCGAAAATGACAAACTGCAAAGAAGTGCACCAAACACTAACTGATGAAGCAGCGCCAGTAAGGCACGGAACCAGATGGACGAGTCAATCGCCGCAGTGTGATGTAAGAAAACTAAACAAAAAAAAACGCACTCGTAATTTTTACGATAGTTTAGCTTTCTAAGGTTGATAATATAGGAACGATCTGATTTTGAAGTGGCAGTTGATTTATCTATTTTTATTACTACATTCTGATGAACGTAAATCATAGTAATTGGTTAAAACGGTAATAATGTCGGATTCGATTTGTTCCTGAACTATTTCATTACAAAAATGTATGTTTGTAACGAGGAGACATTTTCAAAAGTAGAAAATGTGTTTAACGTTTCGGATGTCATATTACAACCTTCTTCAGAAACAAGTTCGAAGTGACCTTTTTCAAAAGACTAGTGATAGTGCTAGTGTTAGTTTAATTACCACCAAAAAAATAACTGTTTTTAACTTACAATTCATCAACGACAAGATCTCTTTGTGATGTCATATTTATGGAATTAGTTGCAGAACTCAAAGGCATTCTTTCCACTTTAACAGTACAAGGTTTTAATATACTGGTAGAAGGACTATTAATTTCATCACTTAATTTATTTCTACGTCTCGTAATAAAATTACCATTATAGTTTGATGTTGAAGCAGTTGCATAAGGTGTTGATCTAAAAAATTATTAATTATTAATATAATATTTATATACAGAGTATCACAAAAGTCCGGTTGCACAGTATTTCTGCTGATAAAAACAATAGAAGCACATAGAGACAAGAAATTTGGCATACATTTTATTCAAACATTGACAAACACAAATGTACAAAATTTGAAGTATCAACCCTTCGCCTCCATACAAGCCCGCAGACGATTGGGGAACATGGTCGCTATGGTGGAGAGGTAGTCGACGTCGTGATCGTCCCATTCCTTCTGAAGGGCGAGCTTCAGGCTGCCGAGCTTCAAAGTAGGCAAGTAGGATGGCCACTGTGAGTCCTGTTGGAATGTCTACGATTGTCCGTTGAAGTGAGACTGGTTCCTGATCTTTGATCTCCTTGATCTTGCTCCCTGATCCATAAAAATCAGCGGTCTCTTCTCGGTTGACGACATTCCGGCCCAAACCATGATCTGAGCGGCATGACACGTCCGGGAAAGGTAGCCACCTCGATTTTTGAAACGTTCACGCGAGACTGTCGTATTGGCGATTAAATGTTTGTTCAATCTCCGCCGGTGAGAAGCGTTTCAGAATTTCGCAACATCTCTGGAGGCGAGTGGCCTTCATCTGTTCCATCAAAGTGTGAGTCTATTGCATCTTGATGCTATGAGTCCTCAAACGATGTTTGACAATCTTGTGCACAGAGTCACGGCTCATATTCAGCTCTTTTCTGAATTTAATTCTGGCAGACCTTGTTCTGGACACACTTGACCATGCTGGGAGTCACAGCAGTCTGTGGTCTTCAACTTCTGGGACGATCTTCGGTGCTACCAGTCTCCTGATAACGTGTATTGAATGTCTCTACGAGAAATTCCGATGATGTTTCCGATCTCTTTTTACATTCATTCAAAATTTTACAGTCATTCAACAAAAACGAACAAAGATACAAAATCGCAAAGTTAGGCTCCCGGACTTTTATGACACTTGTATTAATAAGTAATTTTACTAATTACGTTTGATTAATGGCAGAAGAAGGTATTTTTTTAAAACTGAAACAAAATATGATTAAATAACAGTCAATTTAAAATATGTAAGTATATATATACGTATTAAAAGTTACATCATCTTGTTGAATTTCTGAATTCTGCGGACTCTAAAATAAATTAAATTAACTAATGAATAAATAATTTTTCTTGAATACAAAATACCTCTATATTACAATCATTATATGTAGAGACTTCAGAAATCTTCTCAAAAGAATCCAATTCCTTTTTACTCTTTTTAGAAGCCCTAGTTATGGTGATATGTGGAGGTTTCTTATTATTTCTTTGTGATTTCCTATTTTTGGTACTTCCTAAAATCTAACAAAAATAACACATCAATATAATTAAAACAAATATAAAATTATATGAAACTCACCTTTGAAACATTCTCATTGAGTGGTGAATGTTTTGATTGAATATTTTGCTGTAATAATAAATATGATTCAGGGGAGCTTGCTAAAAGCGAATTATTTTCACTCAATGGTATTCTCTTTGGGATTAATTTCCTAGAACTACGTGATATCTGTGTTTCATTTGTAGATACAATGTTAGGTGACAAATTACTAAATGATTCATCATTTTCTTGATTACTACAATGTTGTTTATAACGCATAGTGATGTATTCGTTTTCTGTTTCTTCTGCAAGCGTTTCCAACCTTCGCTTTTTACAATTTTCACTGTTTTGTGCTTCTTCGTCTAGTTCGTCTTCTGAATTCAAGTTATTTGGTTCATTATGTACATCTTCTTCTGCATCTGTTGAAAAAAAAATCATAGAATTAAGTTGTTGTAGTAAAAAGCATCATGTTACCTGATCCATTATTTTCGATTTCTTGTTGAATTAAAGTTTTTAAAGGTGACAATTTTTCTGCAGACGTTACGATCACATCTTTTAAAATATTTATATTATTGTTACTTTCTGAGTTTTCATTGGTTACATTTGATTGTTCAGCTGGGCCCATTACTCTTTGTATCTCATTAAATATGTTCAAAAAAAGGGAGGATATGTTATTTGCATTTTCAAGAATTAACTTCATTGAGTTTCTTAAAACCTTGAATAAAAACAATTTCATTTACATTAATAACACCAACAGATATAGAAATAAAGTAAACAAAAAATATTACATTCTACCAATAAATCAGGGCTATTCCAAACTTATTATTTGCAGAATGTTATCTAAATTAATATTTTAGACGCTACAGTCACAATAAAACACAATAATATTTAATGTTATAAGCTTTTAAACAGTTATTCAAGAGAGGGGCAACATACTAGCGAAGTATAAGCCAGCAACACCAAACAATGGATTCTATGTTGTCCAAATTGCCTTGAGCTAGTACTGAAAGAGAAACGGTGAATTCAAATGACATACTATAAAATATTATTAAAATATACAGGATGTTTCAGAATTGCACGTCACTATTTTAGGGATGTATTCTTCAGCACAAAATAAACAAAAATTAATTAATTTATTACCGAGATATGTAAATTTGAAGTAAAATATCTGAAAGTATTGCGTTAATCAAGTAGCCATGGACCGACAATCGCATGTTGTTTTTTTGGTTGACATTAAATATCTACTATTAAATGTGTTAATTAGTGCTTAACACTGGTGGTTTTTCTAGTGCTGTACGAAGAATTTAATTTTTTATTATTTATCATGGGAGACACCACAATGTCATTTGTTCACTTTTGCAGACATGTTGTTATTTATGGTGATGTACATGAAAATGGAGCTGCTGCTGTTCAAAGGTACCGTGAAAAATTTCCCACTAGAAGAATACCAAATCGTAAAACATTTGAAACCATTGAAAGGCGTCTTAGGGAAACTGGCACGCTAAAACGTACACGAATAAACGCTGGTCGACAAAGGTTTCGACGAACTGAAAAGAATTGATACTCGATGCTGTTCAGTAATCTCCTAGCACCAGAAGATTGTCACTTCGTTTCGATGTTTCGAGTACAAGCGTATGGCGAACATTGCGTGAGCAACAGTTGTAACTATATCACGTTACACATGTGCAAGATTTATTAACAGAAGACTATAACAAGCGCAGAAATTTCTGCCAGTGGTTAATTCGACAATGTACAGGTGTCCCAAATTCGTTGTCCGCATAGGCTATCTCCGAAACTAAAAGAGATAGATAAAAAGTAGCTTACATGTCATGATCTCGTTTTTCAAGGAACTGCTAATGCCGAAAACTACGAACAACTATCATCTTTTGTTTTCGCCCTATCGACAAAAACTGAAAAATTTGCGAAAACGACAAACGCGAATATCTCACTTATTACCAAAGATGGAGATTATAAATAAAACTATATGTTAAATTATATGGGCAATTTTTTACGCAGAATTCAGTGGCGTAGGAAGAATTTTTTTCCCATCGTTTATTTTCGAGATTTTAGAAGTAACTTTATTTTTTTAAATGGCAACTATAGTTGACTATGATCTAAAATAATTCGTTATTTTTTTCTGATAAGAAATATATATAGTTTGGTGGGTATATTTCTTATAGTTGTTGAATAATTAGCAAACTTTTTTTTTGTTCTTTCTAAAACTATAGTATGTATTTAAAAGTTAAAGTTGCTATGGTGATAACAATACCATGATGGAAAACAATGTTTCCAATTATTACCAAAGTTTGTTTTTAAAAATTCACTAACAACTCTGGCATTACGTGCTGGTGCTCCGTCATGTTAAGTAATGCCAGAGTTGTTAGCGAATTTTTAAATACAAACTTTGGCAGTTATTGGATACATTATTTTCCATCATAGTATGTATGGTTATCACTTCTAAAATCTCGATAATAAAAGATGGGAAAAAAATTCTACCTACGCCAATGAATTCTTCGTAAAAAGTTGCCCATATAATGTTTTATTTATAATACTCCATCTTTGGTAATAAGTGAGATATTCGCGTTTGTCGTTTTCGCAAAATTTTCAGTTTTTGCCGATAGAGCAAAGATAAAAGACGCTAGCTGTTCGGAGTTTTCGTTTATATCTTTTAGCTTCGGAGATGGCCTATGCGGACAACGAATTTGGGCAGCCTGTACACGAAGCCCTAACTTCCTGAGTTGCCTCCTAGTTGCTGCGAATCTTGTTTTACCAGAAACGGGATTATTAATTTTCGAAACACCCATACTTGCCACAAAGAAAACCCTCATATGACTGCTTCTGCTCATTACCAATATACTTTTTCCTTAAATGTCTGGTGTGGTCTTCTTGGTGACAATCTCATCGGCCCTTTTTTTTTACCACCCAGGCTTTCCGGAATATCTTACTTCAATTTTTTGCAAAGTAACTTGTATGAACTCCTAGAAGACATTCCGATTGCTGATAGGCAGGGAATGTGGTTTATGCATGACGGTGTCCCTCTCATCTTGCCACTGATTATTTAAACACAACATATGGTAACCGATGGATTGGTCGAAACGGACCTATGAAATGGCCACCACAATCTCCTGATCTAACACCGTTAGATTATTTTGTGTGGGGCAGGTTGAAATCTATGGTTTACTCTACGTCTGTCAGTACCCAAGAAGAGCTCAGAAATCACATCGTGGAAGCCGCAGTAATTATCAATGGCCGTCCTAATGCTATACTATGACGTATAAAGTTTCTTTATTAATTGTGTCGCATTGTTTGGCGATATTTGCTTGTTTACATTGTTTTTTGTTTCGTTGCTATGGCAACCAACATTGTTATTTTAAATGGAATGTATATGTTTTTTTTTGCATATTTTGATAGAGGATAAATCCCTTTACGCGATGAATATATCAAATCCTATGGTTGTATAAGAAAAAAATCGAGAAAGAATGCGTTTTCTGAAAATATTAAGTCTGAAAATTACAATCAAAGTAGGCGCCGAAATAACGCCATCAATAACTCCATCTTTTACAATTAAAGTCTGGATGTCACAAAACGAAATATAACCAAATTTTACGTCAAATGTCCTCAAACTACCAAAGTTAACGCAAGAAGTTTGTTCACCGTTGCAGGTAAAGTGGTCTTTCTGAGCAATGTACAACAAAAGTTGATTAAGATAAAATGTTTATTATGTTAAATTATAGCCATATGCGGAATTTTATTAATTGAGCACATAAAAGAAAAAATGAGTTTTTTCTTGAAAATTTTTTTCTAATATTCCGTTTTACAATAAAAACAAATGATCTGAGTGAACTAGCAATTATCATTTGATAGCTTAGCTCTAGCCTATTGTCAAATATTAATTGATCATGTTTACATTACAACATAAAATATTTATAGTATTGGGGAACATTAGTTACAATGCAGATTTAAGGTAATTTGAGGAAAAATTTGGATTTTTAGTACTACAAAAACAATTAAGAGAGTTGTTAAAAAAATGTCAGAAACAGGCAATGTGGAAAATAAAAGGAAGGAAAAAAAGCTTTTAGATGAACATGACAGTTCAAGTCGGTATAAGTAAATCCCATGTACAAAGAATTTATCGAGAAAATAAAATATTGCCGTATAAACTAAAATTTAACCACACTATCGAATTAGGTGATGAAGCAAAACGTTTAGCTTATTGTTTGTGGCTTGGGTAGAAAATTTTGAAAGACAGAACTTTTTTAAAAAGTATAATATTTTCGGACGAAGCATCGTTCACCACTAATGGAGTGGTTACATCACAAAATTGTCGATTCTGCTCAAAGACTAATCCACATTATCGCATAGCTTGTAAACGCCAGTATTCCCAGAAAGTGAATGTGTGGTGTGCTGTTTCGTGAGACGGTGTTATTGGACCTTCCTTCATAAACGACAATTTAAATCAACACCGATATTTGGAAATACTAGAAAATTGTTTATTTAATTATCTTCACGGCGTGGATTTAGAAAAACGCAATAAATTATATTTTCAACAAGATGGTTACGGCCCACATTCGACTATTTTAATTAGAAATTATTTAAATACGTTATTTGGAAAAAATTGATTGGTAGATGTGGTCCGCAACCATAGCTGTCAAGAAGTCCGGATTTAACTATTATGGATTTTTATTTATGGGGTTATGTAAAATTAAAAGTGTACAGTGGTGCAAATTTGGGTGTTATTATAGGCTATCTCAGAAACTATAAGAGCTACGAAAAAAGTAGGTACCATGTCCCGGTCTCTTTCTTCGAGACTAATTCAATCCCGCAAACATCAAACCTCTTCTTTTGTTTTTAAGTTATAGCCAAAAAATCAAATTTTCGTGATTTCAAAAAATGCTCATATTTCGTTTATTTTTCAAATTATAGGAATGGGGTTGATACGTTCTTAAGACACTTTTTTAAGTGGAATATACTGCCGTTGAAAAGTTTTAAATATACTTGATGATTTTTGAGATACAACACAAAGTTGTGTTTTTTTTAAATACAAACTATACTTGATTATGATGTTAAAGAAAAGAACATATTTTTAGCTTTCCAATGATGTATCGCATGTATGGTGTATTTGCAGAAAATAAGCGTTAATTATCAATTCGAAAATAGTAAGCGCTAATGTTCAAAATTTTGATTATAGTAGGCGGGTCCGGACAGTAAATACTACCTAGTGGCTATAATATATGGTTTTGCACGAATATGACAGAATAAAGTTGGTTTTGTACAATAATTATTCAGGATAAGTTGGTTTTGTACCAACGAATAAAAACTTTGAATAGTTAATTTAAATTTCTCAGCATCTTATCCCTGACTTTGTTCACCAATAAAAAATAATTAGCAAGTAAAGTTTGTTTATTAAAAATACAAGAAATGTATTAATTAATGAATAATTAAATATGGACAACTTGAGGAACTAAACAGTCATAAACTGTCATCTTCTTCTACTCAACTTACTGGTTGTAAGATTAGAACAGTTCGGTATCAATGAATGAAATCTTCGGTAGTACTTTCCCAGTTTTCCCTAAACATAAGATGTAGAAGCTTTTTGATATCAGCAATCTTTTCTTTTGAAATTGGGTGAGATAGAGGAAAATTAGGGATCATAAACTGGGAGCGGAATTTCCATTCAAACGGTGGGGATATATTACTTCTTAAACGGGAAACTTGTTTCGTAAAATTAATTATTTTAAAAATTGAAAAGAAATGACTTTTCTGGCTGATTGTCAAATTTTGTTTAATGTGTTTAATTTTTGGGTTCATCACTTTCTTAACAACTTTTCTGTTGTTCCGTAAGCGTTTCGCTCAACTCTCTTCTGGCACTTTGTTTGACTTTGCGTTTATTACACATCTCGTATTAAGTTATATTTATTAGTTATGAATAGTTTGAACACCGTTATTGTTAGAATTTCGCGCCGCCATTACTACGACATGATCTACAGGACGAGCCCGTTCCAAAAAGGTATCACACATTAAAATCGGACAATTAGCAAAAAAGTTATACTTATGGATATGATTTTGCTTTTCAAAGAACCGCCTGGCGTCACGTACGTCTGGAAACAGGTTCGTGTTTTGTTGCACTTTTCTAATTACCCATATGATTTAGCGACGACCAAAATTCACTTTTGTGTAGAAAACAGTATACGCATGCTGAGTTGGAATCATATCTGATATTATGTTAATTAGTTTTCAATTTTTGGGACTCTAAAGTTAGAGAATTTTTCTATATATTTTACTGTTTTTCGCGGAATTTAAGATGTACCCGCCCAAGATCTGCGCCGCCAAAACTATGTTAGGCTCTACTCTACAAGATCTTTGTAATGAGCCATTTATCATTAAAATCGATACACAAACAAAAAAGTTTTTTTTATGGATGGAATTTATGGGTAACTTCACACTGGTTAATAAAATACAGGTGTTCCATTTGAAATATGAAAGTTGTCACCACTTCTGATATAACCACAAGTACTGAGACGAGTTGTTCTGTTTTCGTTAAGCGTGTAATGTCTAGTTGAGTGTTTGTAAATAATAGTTTCTTATAAATGTTAATGAAGTTTGATATAATATTGATTTATGTTAAGATTTGACCATTCGGCTGATGATGACCTAATGTAAAGGTCGAAACCGGTCCCAAGGAAATTAAAATAAAGCAGGAAAGAAGATTTTAAAAGTTATTAAGTTTTTTCTTATTAATAATATTTAAAATTCTTATGAAACATTGGAAATCCTTAAACCTTTGAAAAGTCTCAAGATATCTTAACAATCTTCTTGATTCCTTTAAAAGCCCTTTGATAGGCCTAGATAAAAATTGAAATTTAAGCTAAGGTAGTAGATATAACATAATAACCTCAATTCGAATGTAGTGTATCGAAATTTACCACTGCCAAATTCACATTTTATTAGTTATTATAAAACAACAAAAAGACACTGTCGACTGTGCAAAACAACACCTAATTTTCTGATTTTGTGTTTAACTAAATTATTTGCAGATCTATTTATTGGTTCTAACTCCAAAGGTAAAAATTGTCTGTTCTTCTCTTTAGAAATCCAAAGACGAACACCACAGAATGTCCAAAACAACACAAGATTTTGTGTACCATATGTTATTGACTAAATTATTTGCAACTCTATTTATCACTTCTAATTCCAAAGGTAAAAATTATCTGTTCTTTTTTAAATGGTTAAATCTGGTAAAACAATTTTTATACATAACCTTAGAATCTTTCACTCTTATTAATAGTTTAAACAAAATTATCTCTATATAACTATTCATAGAAACACATTGTTAGACTTACAGCAAGTTCGTGATGCTTCATCATTAATTCTTGGCGTTCCCTACATAAAGTTGCTGTTGTACGAGCATGTTGTACTTTTTCCGTATTTAAAGCCATTGCTAACTGCTTATTAACATGAAGAGATGTATCGACTTCTGCACCTATTTCATACAACGAAACATAATACAATAAAAACATATTTATTTAAAGAAGCATTTAATTAACAATTATAAATTATAAGTTTACCTGATAACTCGCCATTATCTCCCATCTCTATGTGTAATTTGTGTATGCCGATATATAATATAATCACTTCTATCTCACTTTTATTTCAACTATACAACATTCAGCAATAAGTTTCAACGGCATAACCATACAACACATAACATTCAGAAAACCGTTAACTTTGATTTTTGTTAGATTAACGTCAAAATCCAATATGGCCAACGTAAGAAAGAATCACTAATTGTTCCTATTCTTCATTATCATTTTAATGAAATTAAATTATTATATTTTATTTTAATTAAAATTATTAGTATTAACTTATTCTGCATACAAGGATAATTTCCAACAAAATAAAATATAGAGTAATAAGACATATTTTAAAAAGACATAGTTTTTGGGTTGCCTATACAACTCATTATTTTCATAAACTTTCATTATTGTTATATCTACTTTATTAAAAATAAACACATTCCCTACTTATTGTATTACTATAGGTTTTAAGGTGTATTAAAAAAGCTACGAAATAAAAAAGGCAACAGCTGTGTAACAACATAGCTTAAATTTAAAGAAATCAGAAAAGAGTAATTAGAATCAAAGTTGGAATACTTTCAGTAAATTTGATTGTTGAATAATATAACGTATGTTATAGCGCTAGTTATCACTTCTTCGTAACGAATAACAATTTGCTGCTTTTTGTTGTAACAAATTATTAGCGAAAACAACGAATACCATTTTATTCAGCCATCGTTTAAAATTTTTGTATGTTTGTTACATCAAAATTTCTATTTTTTTATATAGTTTTTAGTGATGCATTTAGTTTTTTCAAAAAACGTCGCGTAACGTTTCTAAAATAACGTTTTAAAAAATTTTTAAAAACTGAATGCATCACCAGATAGTGAAATGTAAAGTAAATCATATTTAAAGAGTTCAATTTTTTTATTAAATGCAACAAATTTAAATAAAATGGGTTTAAAACGTTTAGTCGGTTTTAATTGCTTTCGGAGTATAAATACGGCAACATCGCAAATATTGGTCCGTCCCAAACATTGCCCGAGACATACTGGAGCCCGGTATCTCGGTAACCGAGACGTCGGCGTAGTGTCTACCAAGAAAAACAAACCTGAAACGATTAATATTTTCGGATAGATCAAAAAATTTTTATATCACTAATTTAAATTTAAACATTTAATTTACGTAGAATGCAAAACAATGTTTAAGTGTGGCAATAAATTTTTAATAATGAGAATATTTGCACAATTATCTGATCATTTACTATTAGATTAATTATTAAAATAAATACAAAA